CAATATTTCCCATTACATTCCAACTTGAGGGTAGAATCCGAGTTATAGCCATGAGGTTTCCCAAAAGTCATGGGGGTAATTTCAGTTCTCCATGAAAAAAGATGGTTTTTCCCTGAAAAACCCATCCAGCTTGGGGTACCCCCATGGAAACTGTCAGGATCTTCGGCGACGAGGATCCAGCAATACAGTGGATGGCTACGCCGATCTGGGGTCACCCACCAGTGTTGGGCGATCGCAGGCCTAGCCTGGGATTCTGCAACCGGAAAGGCAGCTTTGTTAATTTTAAGAGATGATGTTAATGTTAGCCAATGTTAGTTAATCAGTTCTTTTTTAAAGTTTATCACCTATTTAAGTTATTTTTTCTCAGAAGTTTCTAATTGTGTTCTTTTGATATGTGTATATATATATGGTACCCCCCCAAGCCAAGGTTTTATTACTTTACCATGATATTTACAATAGTTTATGATATTGTTGAATGTATGGTAATCAATTGTTCCAAATTAAGATACAAATATAATAATGAATGAAGTGTACAATGAAGGAAGTGTGATCCAAAGAAATACAAAGTCAAGTGGTGGATAAGCCAATAACATCAATATTCTAAGGCTCTTTGGGGAGGGCCCCTTAGAGAAAAGTCAAAAAACCTTAGAAAAACCAAAAAAACAAAAAAAAACAAAAAAAAACAAAAAAAACAATATTTGGAAACTCTTTGGGGAGGGCCCCTTAGAGAAAAGTCAAAAAACCTTGGAAAAACCAAAAAAAACCAAAAAAACCAAAAAAAACAATATTTTGAGTCTCTTGCCTAACCTCTTCCATTTCCAAGACCTCTGGAAAATTGTTTTTTTTGTTTTTTGTTTTTTTTTTGGTTTTCTCGAAGTTTTTTTGGTTTTGCATCTTTCTGCTACCCAAGACTTCTGGAAACTTGTTTTTTTTTAATATTTATTTTGTAATTTCTCCCCAAGACATCTGGAAAATTTTATCTGCGATGCGTCCTTCGATCTTGCTGCCACATCCTTTGTGCAAAATGTTTTGATGAAGCCATTTAAGCGTCAATTTACTACAGCCCACCTACTTTGGAAGCTATGGCGCCCAAGATCGCACGTCCTATGGCTGCGGCAAAGCCAAAGAAGGGCACGGACGTGGAGGTGGCATCGAGTTGCGGGGACTTGGTCTTTGAGGACGATTTTTGGGAGCGCCTTGGAAAATCTATATATGGTGAAGCCAGCATCGTTGACATCACTTGCTTTAACTAAACCGTCATCTGCACATTGCACGCATGATGTCTCGTTCCCTTCAACATCCATCTCTCGTGCCTAGGTCAGACTGGATTCTGCCTCCTCCTGATCATCCCGTATGGTGGGAGCGCAGACCTGAACGAAGCCGCTCACCACCACCACGTGCAGCACCCGGCACTCCACCTGGGCCACCACCTAGAACGCCGCCAGATGATGTTATGCTGCGGGTGCCGATGACGCCACCAGAGCTGCTAGGGTCACCACCCGGCACACCGGACAGTGTTTGAATATGTAGCTACATGTTGATGACATGGATACAGGTTGTGATAAGACAAGCTACAAAAGAAACACGCGTGACAAATCTTGGTTTTTCCAACTCCGGTGTGCCTTAGTCACCTGTTCTGTCAGTGTATCATCGCAATTGGCGTAGTACACTTTGAACAGCAATGCGCTTGTGAGCCTGCTCTGCGTGAAAGGAAAAGGTTGCTCTGTTAGCCTCGTGTGAGTCCTACTTTAGTTTTAGAAAATAAAAAAGGTTAGCCTCGTGTGATTAGTCTTCTAATGTTACAAATTAAAAAGGTTTTTTCTTTAAAACAGGAAATTCAAAACAATGTTGCAAGCATGTAATATGATAAGTCTGTTCGGCACAATGCTCCTGCAACTGATTCATCATAATGCACATGCCTTCTTCACATCTGTTGCTTCTGCAATGTCATCATTCCTGTCAGCTGGCATTCATTTTCTCAAGACCTGGTTAGCTCATAGTGCAAATTTCTGTCTTTGATCCAATGGCAAACATCGATGTGAACTTCGTGGACAGTTTCAGGCATGAACTGGGAGAACGTGATGGGGTTCTCACCTTCGATGAATCGTGCGTCCAGGTACAAGGTCTGAAGCTTTGTGGCCCGCAAGCAAAGCCATTGAAATCAAACAGACCGGTCGGCGATGTTTGCTTCATCGATCTTCCTCTTCGTGACATGGATGGCATAGGAGGCAAGCTTGAACAGTTTGCTGACATCGTGCAGAGCTTCCCAGTCCAGGGCAACTTCAAGATCGATGCTAACTTCTTAGACATGACTGTGTACAGTGTACCCTCTCTGTGCCCAGGCCAAATATCGAGAGTTACCAGAACCATTCAATTTGAAAGCCGAGCCCAAGGTACCTTATAGTCTGCAGATCGTCATTGTGCCATCCTACCTTCCACCAGACAAAGAGCAGGACTATGTGGACATCTTCAAGCACATCTACTTGCACAAAAACAAAGTCTCATCTGCTGATTGCGTATCATTTTGTCATGGAGCTCCTGTCTGCTTCGATTGGGGGAAACAGACTCGATTGGCTTTAGCTGGACTCAACAACATGTTGGATCGCACCGGCGGCATGCAGATTCGGATTTGGACCCTCGCCCCCAAGTTTGAGAAGAAGCACGCTTTAGATCAGAGTGCTCGAGAGTCTGGGTACCGATTCATTCGAGAACATGGTCCTCGCTCGAACAACATGAACCAATTCATGGAATGGACTGACGAACAAGTGCATTGTCCCGGTGGTCCTTTGGAGGGATGGCAGGAAGGAAAGGTGAAGGAAGCCCTTCACAACTATTATCGTGGTCGGCAAAATGCAAAGACGATCCAGTACTGGCCATTGACATTGAAAAGCTTTGTGGCATGGTTTCTCGACGAGATCCTTGTCAAGATGCTCCCAACCATGCGGCAGCACGCCATCACATGGATCGGGCGTACTCGTGTCGGAAAATCTTTGGGCTCCAAAACCATTCTGTTTGCTCAATCCAAGTTCGAGATCACACAAGCTGATCGAGAAGATCTTGTACCTTCCATTGTGACTGCCAAGCACCTTGATTTCTTTAAAGCCGAGCGGATCACGAAGTTCAAGCCAGGGGTCTTCGATGACGGCATGCTACAACGGATGGATTCGTCTTTCCTCAAGGCCTTTTTGAATCCTTCGGCGACTTGGCTGTTTATGGTGACGTGTATAGCTGCTTCTGTCACATTAAAAAATACTTCTTTGGCATGGCTTGCACACTTGGCTGTTTCTCGTTCCTTTCATACTTTCACACCAAACCTTACCTAATCCAAACACATGTCACATTCAAAGTACTAAGGAAGAAGATGCCACGGTGTGGGCTCGCTACTCCTCGGCGCAATTCGACCGGGTTCTGGACGTCATGCTTGTAACAACCCCTACAACCATGTTCTTGATTGTGAGCTCTTCGAAAAGATGCAGAGCACAGGTTTTTGGAACATTCAACATAAGGACTTCCTCGACTTGATTGCTCCTTCCTTCACTGGTGTCGAGGATGCAGAGGACATGGCAGCAATCTTGGCTCGTACGCACGTCATCGTCTTGACCGAGAACGGGGTGTACTACCGTGTTGCAAGCACTGAGAAGGGCAATGTCGATTTCATCGCTTGGCAGAATCCGCAGATGAAGGACATCTTGGCTCCTGAGTACAAACCGATCTTCGAGGCTTACAAGGCAGATCCTCAAGCTCATGTTCTTCCTGAAGGATATCATGCAGACTCTATCTGGTCCCAAGAGTTGCTTCGCAAACTTCTTCGAGGGGAACCAGTTGCCAGAACCATTACTGTTCGTCAACGTGGCCTTTTCGACGAGAATGTGCGCGAGATGCAAGAAGCTCCACGTCTTCTTCCCACAGCAGAATCTGCATTGCAAGTGAAGCGTGAAAAGGTCAACCACGTTTGGAAGCACTTGAAGCGTTGCCCTGTCACCACCGTCATTGAGCTCGATTCTCCTTCTCCTGCAAAAAGGGTTCGGCCTTCAGCGCCTGCATCATCTTTGCCATCCTTGCCTGCCATGCCTTCTTGTCCTGTCATGAATCCTGGAAATGCTGAGTTGGGCTTGCTTGAACATGAGGAGCAGGAAGCAATCGATTTAGAGAATGACATGGTGAGCTTCATGGATGAGATAGATGGTATGCCACCTGTGGGCGAGGGTCCTGATGAGGACTAGTCGACTGATGAGAGAAGACATCTTCAATTTTGAAACTTTGTTTGTGGACCGCTGCCAGCTTCGAAGATCACTGAATCGGACAGGAGATAGAACCAGATTGAACTACACTTCACGAAGCTGTCGTGTAGCTTGTCCGTGCGTTGATACATCGAGCTATGATGAAAAAGATGAGCAGTATGTTTTGCTTTGCTGTTTGCATGGTCGTTGTCATAGCCGTTCCGTTACTTTTGCTTCCACATGCACTTCTGACTACATACCTTAACGTGCCTCTGTAGTTTTGTGGTTCTTCTAGCATCCTCTGCACGTGTCTCTGTCATGGCGAAAAGCTTCAATCCGCGTGTGCCGAAGCGTGGACGTGCCCGGCAAGTGTTGAAGAGGCCTGCCCACAAGAAGAAAGGTAATTGGCAGCAAGTCCCTTATGTGCGAGACCTTGAGGCACAGGTACCGCCACGTGGTGACAGGCACGCATGGAAGAGATCATTGGTGGATGTGGTGAAGTGTTCTGTATCCTCTGTGGTGTCTATGCTACGTGCGGATAATCTTCTACCTAGATGGGAAGGTGCTCTTTGTCCTCATTGTCGGCGCGGCACTATGGGGACGCTACAGTCGTACGCTGGCGTCCCCAAGCACAGATGCAACCACTGGAAGTGCTTGAAGCGCATCAATCCTCACCATGCTCACCCCATCTTTGTGGAAGGCACTGGCTCTGGCTGCACACCTTTGTCCACACAGGCTGCCATGCTCATGCTGCTTTTGAACAATGTCGAACATGCGGCAATCCACCGCCTGCTTCAAATCAATCACAAGGCCATTGAAGACATGCAGAAGCGCCTCTACCAGCTCCGGGCCTCTTGGGTCCTCAAAAAGGAGAAGGAAATTATCTTTGGCAAGTCTCAGCAGTGGGCCGATGTGGAAGCCGATGAGGCTACCTTTGACAGAATGGTCAAAGGTGAGTCGGTGGAGTGGGAACAATGGTGCGGCATCATTCAACGAGGCCAACCCTCTACTTTGGTACTTCACCGCCTTACACCCCCAGCTGGCAAGGCCAGAGCTCCAGGCCCAGGTGCCGTGCGAAAAGTTGAATGGAAACCGCTTGCGAAGAAATGGCTGCAGGGTCGTCAAATCATTCTGCACACCGACTCGGCCAAGAGCTACAAGCTCAAGGTACCTGATGTCCTGCATGATCGTGTCGTGCATAAGAAGAAGCGCGTGAAAGTAGGAACAAAGTTCCGCTGGATTGCGCCCAAGTATGTGGAAATGCAGCGCCACAAGGTGCCTGGCTCTAAAAAGGTTATCAAATGTAAGTCAGGCACCCAAATCATCGATCGTTGTTGGAAATTTTTGAAGGCCCGGCTGAACATCAATCAACACAGCCGTGTTGGCAGCCAACTCTTGAAGCTTCAGCTTCGATCTGCCCAGTATGAATACTGGCGTCGTGGCCAAGATCTCTGGATCGACACTGGAGTGTTGGTTCAGTGGTTTATGGCATCCACTGTCCAGGCGGGTGGATAAATCTTTGCTGGCGAGCGCGCAAAAAAGATGTCTTCTGCTACATGGGTGCCTTGCAACAAACTAAATCCCAACACTTCTCACATGGCTATCTGTCTGCTTCCGCAAAAAAAGATGTCTTCTGCTACATGGGTGCCTTGCAACAAACTAAATCCCAACACTTCTCACATGGCTATCTGTCTGCTTCCCAGCATATGTGATATCATTCAGTCACCTGCACGGAAACATTAACCAGTTCTGATCTGTCTGCTTGCTGGCATGCATCATCTGTCTCAATCGCATCCATTCAAACATTGGCTCTGGGGGGGGCTAGCATATATATATATATAATCAATTGTTATTCAAGTTCATGATCATGGTTATTTGACACTTATGGTACCACCCAAAGAGGATGCACAAAAGGTTCAATTATCACAGTTTTAGAATTTGATGGCAACCGTTTCTGCATCTTTTTGGGGGGCTTTCTGTATATGCCAACAACATCCCACAAGAGGTTACAGGATTTTCGAAACTATGAAGGGGTTTGAGCCATGATGCCATGATCCACGTTGTTGACGCCTTGTAGTCCAGATTCATGGGTCCTTTTGCATCATAGGTTTTTCAATGATACACATGAATTGAAGTCAGCAAAGCTCGATGCAGCTTTTTGTCAATCATTTTACATCTTACACATTCGAAAGCATGTTCTTACCAAGAGTTTTGAAGACTCTTTGCTGGGTTCCTTTTGGAAATTCCAGGTTTTCTGCCCAAAAAGGCCATTGGGCCATTGGCCTGTAGAATCCACTTGGACGTGTCACAGATGCCAAAGGCATCGAGCAAATCCAATGCTGGTGGCACTAGCTGTTGCCCACCTTGCTGCGGAAAAGGGCTACCAGGTCACCAGTCATTTCCAGCATTTGACCATCATCAATCATCCATTAAAAAAAGGAATTAACGGGATTTAATGGCAATATCAATCCTCCATTTTTTGGGAAATACTACTGGTAGGTCCTCCAATTCTTTCTTTTGGAACATGGTTTTGAGCAAACCAGCCGTTCGTTGATGGCTTCCACCGAGTCGACCCATCCCACCTGTTGAAACATGGTGCATCGCATGATGACATGATGACGGTCCACCGCCAAAATGGGGATATGGAACTCGTAAGACTCGTAAGATGAAGAGATATCCAAGCATGTCCAAGCTATTCTTGACCCAACATCATCAATGCTCCAAGAAGCATCCGACATTTTGCTTTCAAATTAAGTTCTGACTTTGAAAAGCAGCCGCAAGTCAAACCGCACAACTGGAGCTCGATAGCAACAGCCATGACAATCGCAATCGGTGCCCCCCCTCCGGCTCTGCTGAGTGCTGAAGAGCTTGAGAATCGAGAGAGGGAAGCAGTCGATGCCTATTGTCCCTTGGCGCTGTGTGCACATGGCGCATGGGATACCCTGCTAATGTCATTGTTGGCGATTTAAGCCACCAGGAAAGGGTAAATTGGCTCGTTTCTAGGGGGGTCATACTGGTTCTGACACTGTGAATGAAGGATGATGGCAGAACCAGTCAAGGGCTGGAATTTGCAGGAGTTCCGCTGAAACTCTATTGATTCTTGCAATAGCTTCACAAATCTCCTATTTACCACTGTTTTGAGGGCCTGTTCAACAATTCCATGCAGGAAATACTGAAAAGAATCATCAAACATGCGCAGCAATCGATGATCTATCATGATCTATCTGTAATTGTTAGCAAATTTTGTTGGTTAACAATTAATCCATTGATCATCACCAATTGATCTGTCGATTATGATCATTGGTCATGACCCATTGATGCCATTGATTCATTGATCATTGGCCCTTTATTTGGTGGTCAATGAATCGGTTGACCGAGGCCGGAAGCATGACATCAAGGGCCTTGTGGAAGACCTGGTGAGTCGATATTTGTTGGACCGACCCAAGGAGACCGACCTCTGAGAAATGCGAAGTCGGCGAAAGTTGAAAAAACCGTTGAATTGAACTGATTGAACAGCATATAGGTCTATATAGGTCCATATAGGTCCATATAGTAAGTACCTCATTTCTGAAGACCTAAAGAGGTTACTATGCGAATTCTTCGTAAACAGGGGTCGCAAGCATTTTTCATTTCTGATCCAGCTGAGACCTGATGGAGACGACTGACTCAACAATCAGAATATATCATAATATAATATAATATATCATAATGTGGGTAAAACGATTTCATAAACCATCCCCCAGTCACCACCCAAACCACCATTTCAATAGGTGGTAAAAATCACAAATCTTACCTTTCCCAGTCATGGCTGGTAAAAATGGCATTGTTTTACCCACATTTTCATGATTTTCAAGCTGGTGAAACCCCGTGCTGGTGCAGGACATGAGCCCGCATGAGTACTTTGCGCAGCAGTTAAGGCGCCTTGCTGCCGGGGGTGTCATCATGGGAGATGTACATCTGCAACATGGATATGCAACCCATCATATGAATTCATATGGCATTCCCTGAAAATTGCGGAACACCTGACAGGGGAAAGCAGCGAATGACCCATGAGTGATGGTTCACTTTGATAAAAAAAAGGCCAGAACTGAGGGGACCAATCCCCTTGTCGGAAGTCCAGGCTGGAAATGCTCGCGGGAGACGAGGCCGTTTGTCCAAGTCGAAAGCGTTGGGCTTTGTTGGCACCGACTGGATACATCTTGATGCGTTGACTTTTCGTCCTTTTTCTATCATGTACTCCGACCAAAAAAAGTAAAGGTACGATGTGAGCATGTGATTGAAAAGATCTACATCAAATATCAGCTATATATCAGCTATATATCAGCTATATATCAGCTATATATCAGCTATATATCAGCTATATATCAGCTACGTATATATCAGCTATACATAGCTATACTATATCACATGCCCTCCGCTACTCCAACATGGCTCGCTGGAAAATTCTCCATTTATTTTGATGGTTTTCCCACTTATAACCTCCATTTTGATCCGTGACTTTCCAGCCATGTTTGATTCTTGTTGATTCTATCCCATTAAAAAAATACATAGAATCATAAAATAATGATTAAATTCCCATGACATATATATATATATATTAACAATTATTAACATATTAATATATATTAATATATATTTCATAAGCTTTGTATGAAATATCCCATGCAACGTGACAAATCCCTTCCATCATCCCAATGAAATCCGCTCAGGCCCATCTGGTCGAGGCCGCCGCTAAGGTCGGAAGCGGCGAAGAAAATCGAAGGGACTTTGGTTTTTTTTGGTCGGAATTCAGTGGCCAAGATTTTATAGATTTGACTTATTTGGCTATTTTATATCTGATTTTGTAATTAGAATTGAGTCTTATGGGGAGATGATTTTTTTTTGAGATCTTATGAGATTTCAATGGGGATTCAATGACTATTTAGGGACATCATGATGGGATCTTTCAGGTTCCATGGGATTTTTCATGACTTTGCGACATGAACAAAAAGGGGCCCATCCATGACTCCGTGGTCCTGCAGGTGCCTGGCTATGCTTTGCGGCAACTTTTTGAGGCGACCAAGAGGCCTTCGCGCGCATGGTGGAAGGGGCGATGCACTTGTTCCATCTTGTTCCATCTTCATGGGATTAGAATCCGTGAAAAAAAACGGACGAAATGGTCGTTTTGACCTTTTTTAGACTCCAAATTTGTGACGAAGTACTGAAGAACTTGTAGCCACCAAGTTGATCTATGGATTTGTTGAGAGGGTGCTTTGGTTCTTAGATCTCTTGAGATTTTCAGCATTTTTCAGCCTCTTGCAGGATTACATCTGAGATTGTTCCAAAGGAGACTATTCGAGTCAGAAGCTCAGTGCTGGCGGTGTGTTGAATCTGCACATGTAGCCAGAACAGATTGTTGAATTTGAGCTGTTACCAATATGTTCTTGTGATGTTGTAAATTCAATAATTCCCAATTCGGAGAATGTCGTGAAGGTCTATGAACCAGCAACTTGATGAAGCTAAGAAAAGCTAAGTATGCTGAAAATCCAGTCGCAACTTCTTGACCCCGGACCTGGCCTCGGACCTGGACTCGGACTGGACAACCGGACCTGGCAAGGTGATCATCGAGGAAAGTCTCAAGGTCTTGAACTGCGACCGCATTTCCCTCTTTATCTACGACAAGCGGATCGAGATGCCGCTCTGGGCGGAGCTGGTTGTTGGGGCATCTGGGAGTAGAACCAATCCAGCCTAATGATTTTTATGTAGTCCGTAGGATTTGTTAGATAGACATGTTAGAATACTTCATCCATCATAGATCAATATCATCATATATCATCCAATCTAATTCAATGTTTCTATCTACTATAGAAACACTAATATATAGATACCTAGATACAGATGTAAATATTTCAAGTGAAACATGGTCCAAAAAAGTGATGTTCCGACCATTGTTCCGACGCATCGTTGGTGTTTTTTTACCTAGGTTGGTCTTGAACGCCTCGAACCTGGAACATCCGATTCGTGTGAGGCGCGACGTTTGTGCAACGTCACGTAACGCCACGTCACTAGCCTCTGAGCCTCTGTTGATGGGTTATTTTGATGGGTTGCATCCATTGGAAAAATTGGGGATAACATCATTTTATACATCTTGATCATTTTCATGGTTCATCATGATTATTCGGAGCGACATTTTCCATGGGATTTTGATCGAAATTGGGGATCGTTGTTTTGATACATGAGTTACATGATGTTTTTTCTCAGTAGAGGGAAGGGATCGGAGATTTTTTTGGTATTTTTCATGGCTCACCTGGTAACCCCGACTGTTCATTGCATTGGTTCTCCAGCTAACATATTTCCGAGAAAAAATAAGTGTTTTTCTGTCGACTGAGCAACACGTTCGACATGGATTTTCTGGATTATCATGAGTGATTTTCTGGATATTTCTGGTTGCATCTCACTGTGTTTTCTATGGATAAAACTGGGCTGGATCTATTTCTGGATATGATTTTTTATGTCAAGCCCAGATTTTGATTCAACTTTGTGCCACCTTGAATTTGAGATGTACCATTTTCTGGTTGCATACCTTGGGGTGCAGTTCCACACATTTTTGTGGCTTATTTTTCACCATACTAGGGATGACAATCCCAACTTGGGTTAGAATCCCGTGGTGATACCCGTTTGAATGACCATGAATGACACCATGAATGACCATTAATAATCCATATTAACATATATTAACCATGATTTTTCTATAGTTACACCAGTTACACCGTAGTTACACCGGTTATCGCTCCAAGATCCTCCTTTTTTGGCTACCAAGCCAGGCCTGGGCAGGGCATTGCTGGCAAGGTCTTCAACTCGAAGCCGCCAGCCATTGCATTTGACAAAGGGAAACCCGAGGGAAACAGCAAGGTCGTTTTCCAAAGTCATAGTGTTTTATAGTGTTTTCAAAAGAGTTTTTCATGGTTTTCATGGTTTTTCAGGTTTCATGGTTTTCGTGGTTTTCATGGTTTTCATGATGTTTGTCATGGTTTCGAGGATGGTGACTCATGAGATTTCAATGGGATTTAACCATGAAACACATGGGGATATACCGTAATTTGATATAATTGATACATGATGGTTGGTCGACAACTCAGCCGAGGTATGTTTTTCAAATCAAACTTCCATTCCTCTTTGTATAATAAACAAGAAGTATGGCTTATCCGATGATCTATGCTTATCCACTTCAAGTTAAATGGATCCAAAGTGCAAAGTGCAAGTGCTTGGACGAAATTGGCCCTGCTTGTAGATGGAACTCAAGTTCACTGCATTGGTTGAAGGAAATCTTGGTGTTCCCCATCAAACATTGGGGTTTCCTCTAAACTATTCACTTCGTACAACAATAGGCGATAGCCGATGACAGCGATAACACGGCCGTTTGCAGGAGTAGTTTGTTGGATTGTGATGGAACAGACTGTGAATATTTTTGCTATTCTACTGTTGAATATTGTGATTTTTTGAATATTTTTTCTCCTTGGTGTTTTTATTTTGCTGCTCAGGCAGACTGTGAATATCGCAGAGACCTAGCTGCATTTCATGCGAAACTGGACATGGCGATGAACAACACAACACAGCAACAACCAACGATGGACAGTCAAAAAGTGGGATGCTAGGGACGACTTGAAGGAATCCTTTTTAATTCTTTTAATCCTTTTTCTTGATGAGGATCATATCATATCATCATACAGGATGGCCCCAGTTATAAGTTGGTTTACATACCATAGCAACACCCCCATTTACTAGTTCGTTCTATCTACCAGAAACCATAGAATTCAACGCATTTATGTTCGGCAACTGAACGCGAGCTCGACTGGGGGCCCCATAGTTACATCTACCATAAACCATAGGTAAACCATCGCTCCATTTTCTCTGCACACTCAGCATTTACCGTAGCTCAGATGACTGGCCCAGGACTGCTACAAAGATGCCAGATTCGACCAATCCTTCGAAGCTCGCAGAAACAACAAGTGGACGCTAAATAAAGTAGTGAGAATTCTAAAAGTGACATATATAAAATAGAATATATGAAATATGTATATATATGTGTATATATATATATCTATCCACATATCTCCACTTTGGACTGGAATCATTGGAATCATTTCACTTTTTTTGAACTCAAGTTTGCCTCACACTCAACTTGGAACGGCAAGCAGTGGCACTGCTTCGCCCGAGGACAAAGAGACAGGGTATCTGGGTGGCAGTGACACTACTCTGAGGGTCCTGTGGGTTCTGGCTTCAGAATTTGCACAGTTCCTTTTCCGAACATCTGACACTAGTTTGAAAACGTCTGACTAAGCTGGCTTTCCGAAGTAGTTTTTTTGAAAACATCTGACAGACTTTTTCTTTCCTTTTCCTTTACCCTCTGTGTAAAAGTTCAGATCTTTGGGGATTTTCACCTGCCATGTTGGACATTTTGTGACGGCATGGCATGGGTCGGCCAGAAAAAGATCCAGGAATCCAGCAGTCTCATGGTACAAAGGTGGTAAATCAAAACATAGAACCATATTAAACCATATTAAACCATATTAAACCATATTAAACCATATTAAACCATATTAAACCCAGAAAAAGATGAAAAAAATCCGGCTCTTGTTGCGAGCTCCTTTTCTCCTCTTTTTCGAGGTATGTGACTCGGCATTTGTTGGCTTTCCCCATCGTTGACATCGGGGGCAACTGCTTGGGTGTGATCCAAGCCATCAACAAAAACGCTGGAGGCGCAGTCGCTTATGGTACGTGGAGCCTGAAGGCGTCTATTTGAACATATGGAAGTGTGTGAAATATGTGAAAGCGAAGATGATTTTCCAGTTGAAAAGGGGGCTGTTGAGAATCTGGTTTTTGAGCCTTTGGTGCATCCCAAATGGATGCCCCAACTTGTGGTATGACAGACATGTGTGTACTGCTCAAACATGGTGCAAGCTCCATAGCAATGAATTTAAGGGAGAGAAGAAATAGGATACCAACGGACCCAGAAAAATGTCATTGTCTCTTGTACTAAGTACAAAACCATCACATTTCTATGTTCCTCAGTTTTGTCAGTTTTGTCACGTTTTTTCCATGAGCCACACCCCCATGTGGTCCCTCTGCCCATCATGCCAGCAGGTCAGGGTTTTGGACCTGCGGACGAGATTTTGTTGAGCAATTTGGCGGAGCACGTGTCCGTGGCAGTGCACAATGCAGAGTTCTATCGTGCAGCCATCGTCACCAGCGAACGGGCCAATGTGACTTGGCCAAAATGGATGGATGCTCCAGTTCAAGCGAAACTTATGGCAAGAAAACAAGTTGTATTTTTCTTAGATATTGTTTTGGTAGTTATCGATGTTATGGATGTTATTCCAGTGTATCAGGATATCCATGACAGAAATGTACCTGGGTCACTGAAATGGCTGGCGCAAGCGCGCCTCAGAATTGGAGGAAGAATTGGCTGAACCTCCAAAGGGTGCAGTTGAGGGGGAAAAAAGATGAAAACAGTGGGTATAACCATGGTTGTAACATGTTGTAACCCCCATAAGTTGTGATATGAGGCCCCTATCACTATGGCGAAATATATCAACTTACAACTGGAACTGCACTTCCAAGAACCACTCGTGTTTCTTGAATCCCTGTTTTGGTGTTTGAAACCATCATTTTCCCCTCCAAAGGTCAACCTTTTTGCGAGTTCCCGGCAGACCATCCCGCAAACCAACGACTGCGGCTTTTGACATTGTGCCTAAGCAAAACCCCAATGTGACAGTGGCAAAAACACCTAGCATGTTCACATTTCAATCATTTCAAGACAAACTGGGTGGTTCAACTAAGTAAAAACCGTCATTTCCTCAGCAAAAAGCGATTTTGAGAACCAGTGAAACTTCCCTTCTCCCATCAAACATCAAGAAACCACCAGGCTTTCTCCAGCTGCTGTCCATAGGATGCAGCCACTTCCCCCCGTTGTCGGCTGCGAGCAAGGCCTTGCTGCAGATGATGCAATCCTTGACGCATGATCTTGGTGCTCAATCGCTGGTCCTCTCCGTGGCTTGGTATTGTGAAACACAACGGCGACCTGTTGGGGATCAAAATGACTTAAGAAACCCCCATGGCCCCATAGACTTGTATGATCAATGATGATTTCTGTATATAGTATACAGATGTATACAGTACACCCATATTATCCCATATTATATATATACAGTATATACATATATGAACACACATGGGTTATTGTGACACTATGACATCAATATGATTCATAAGATCTTACGATATCTATGCATCTATGCATCTATGCATCTATGCATCTATGCATCATTATCCCATTCTATATTGATTTATTCGATACTCTTTATCGGACGGTATCATTTTGTCAGCTTGCTGATCCATAAGGCTGGTAGCGCCACTGGGTCACACGGAAGGTGATAGCCCTCAAAAAAAGTTGAATCTTTTGGTGAATTTTGGGATATACCCTCTGGAAAAACATAGCCATAGAACATGGCCCATTTATAGATGATTTATCATGATTTACCTATCAATATCATTAATATCATGGTGATTTTCCGGTAGAGGGAGCCCAGATATCAACCATTGCCCAGATATCGACCGTCCCAGTCCTCTTGGACACGTTGAGGTTGCGACTCATGCTTCAACACTGGTGCGAGCAGACCGGTGCAGCGTGTTTCTGGTGGATGAGAGGACGGTTTCCCCAGCGGTGGTCCCCCAGGTCTGAAATATTCTGACCCATAGCCATGTGAAGAGAAGCCAGATGGCACTTGTTGAATTCTCAAATTTGGAGTAGACGCAATAGTAAACTCTGTAGGTACGTTTAGAGAAATATTCCCTAAATGTTCAAAATTGGTATAAATGAGTTCAGTGGAATGGGTGCAGATTTGACCGCTGCACAAGTCTGGCTCAATCGCGATCACTTCGATTCTCTGTGGGGCCCTTGTCCTTCCATAGCGGCACAGCAAGGTCCCATGACACACTGACGCTACTGCAACGTTTCCATGACACCGTGGCTCACACGAAAAATGCCATGGACATGGATGCCATGGAAGCTCGAATGGCAGCTATGGAAGCTCAGATGGCAGCTATGGAAGCCATGGACACAGATGAAGCTGCCATAGATAACTCCGAGCATCGGACACCAGTCATCATCGACACCGATGTTGACACGGACGACCAGATGGCCATTGCTTTCCTACTGGCTCAGCCAGATATCAAAGTGCTGGCCATCACGGTGGGTTGCAATGGTTGGTCACAGCAATTGGCAGGTGTGATGCGTATCATAAGGCTAACCAAGTGTTTTGTACAGACATTCCCGTGGCATTCTCACCCCTGTACAACCCCGACACACAACTGAATCTGCAGGGTGCTACCTAGCCCTTGCAAAGAAAAGTTTGCTTGGCACAGCATAAAGAAAGATGGAGCTTGGACCTGATACATTGCACATCTGGCTGGGGCAGCAGGTGCATGATTGCATCAATGAGCTTCAAAGGCATGGTCTGCATCTCTAGCCTGCCAATCATGGCTTCTTGGCAAAGTGCAAAAATATATTGTGAGGATGGCAAGCAGGATAGCAAGAAGGAGAGCAAGGAGGAGACCCAAGGAGGACAGGAAGGAGCAGAGCAAGGAAGAGAGGGAAGGAGAAGAGCAAGAAGGATTGCAAGGATGCAGGCAAGGAAGCTCAACGAACCCAATGGATTGCCTGATCCCACTCTGCTGACGGGCAAGGGCAACTCCCTCAGTGAGTTTGTTGGTTTACCCTTCAACATCCGACCACCTAGTTGGACGTACACTGGCCAACTGAAGGACACCCTTTGGAGTCACAAGAAGGTGGACATCATTGGGACCTTTGACCAATCTGGCCCATTTCCTGCAAGATTCACCGAGACTTTTCAAATGGAAGGTGAAGCGGATCTACAACTCAGGGGGTACAGTGGTTTCAAGATCCAGCACCCCAACTGACAAAGTGTGGCCTTACTCCGCTCCAGACACCTCTTTTACCGGAAACCCACCAGATACAGAATGGAACATCTTCAGTGATCCAGTTGCAGCCAACTCGGTCCTCTCCTTCGGGGTCTCCATAGTTCTGGCAACTTCCACCTACACAGATGGCATGCAGTTCTACCTCAATGACACCGATTTCATCCCAGCATCCTGTGACAGCGACAGGGCAGTGTTGACCAAATTGGTGGCCACTTTGCCCACGGCAGATGGTGAGGAGCCCTCAGATCTCCGTTACTGGGATGAGTCTGCCATGGTGCGCCATGCGTTCAGATGATCCGAAACGGGGGGAAGGAAGAAGCAGCTGTCTGTACTGAATGGGACAAGAAGCGCTTTTCGGTGATGTTGGAAGCTGGGAACAATGCCTCAGTCAGTGGAGGCCAATATTCCTGCCTGTTGGAGAATTTGGACAAGAAGCCATCGAGTGCTTGACAGGAAATCTGACTGAGTTCAAGATAGCATGTTTTGAAGGGTTTTGTAGTCGCTAGGGCTTTTCAACCTCGGTCTTCGTGCTAAAAAAGAATTGCACGCAGAAGTGTGTGACCAGATTAGGAGAGGTGTGTGCTTGCACGTATCAACTGCAACTTGCCTTTCGATTTTGGGGTTACTGCGTTGCCTGGTTTGATGGCTATGAATAAACGTGGCAAATCTTGAGATGTATCGGTGATGAGAACCACGTCATATGGCTAAGATCTTCTAAGATCTTCTAAGATCTTCGAAGTTTCCAGCTTTTCTCCTTGGGTTTACGAGACATTTTCCTGCCATTTTCCAGCCATTTTCCTGCCTTTTCACATCTTCCATCGCCACCCTTCAGAGCTGCCCCCTTTTTGTTCAGGGCTGACGAGCTGATCTCCATCGCCAACGATTCCGGGGTGGAAATCAGGACCCGGCAGATCTCGGTCGATGGCTACAGTCATGGGATTTAAATGGATTTATTAATTTCAACAGTAGATATATTTAAATCTATTAACATCTCCAACATGGGATTTATTGATATCCCATATATTAATATCAATATTCATATATCAATATTGTAGATTTCATATCCAATATTCGTCAATATTCAATATCTACCACCAGTAATCCAACTTTTCGATCTCCGGGATTTATTATAGTATGGTGAAAAAGTGATGGATTTACCTTCCAGTCATGGGACGTATCCATGAAAATAGTGATTCATATTGGTTCGTATCCATGGATAGTGATTTCATAATAGGATGAATATGGATGATTAATGGATTAGTATGGGATTCTGACCTCAATAACTCGGGATTTTCAGCCCGAAAAAACGATGGTTGTAAAACGTCATGGGACAATGAACTACCTGACTATGATCATCCTGATGAGATGTTTTATGGTTCATTAATATTAATATTATCCATTAATGAACCATATTAATATGGGTTGAATTAATATGGGATGAACCATATTAATGTTAATATTATCCATTAATATTCATCCCATGGTTCTGATTAACAATGGGATGAATGAATATGGATTACCCTTTGGTAATTTAAAAGTTCGCGAACTGTTGTTTTTCATAGAGGGTAACCACAAAAAATGCTGAGATTTCATGGGATCACCAACTGTGTATCAGAAAATGGATGATCAATCCATCTTGGATGATCAATCCATCTTGGATGATCATCCCTATTTTTTTCCATAGGAATTGACATATTAGTAGGTATGTTAATATACACCCATTGTGGCAATGGATTCCCATAAATTGGGATGGACGAACTATTCCCAGCATGGAACTTGACCATGCCACTAACATCGGGATGGAGATGACTGGCCATTACTCATTGCTCCAGTGCCAGCCAGTGCCTTTCACTTTCCGTGAGGATTCCGAAATCTCAAGGAATTGCCGGAGAATGTGCAAGTGAGAACAAATTGATCGTAATCGACGATGCGTACCCTTGACAAGGGCAGATTCAGTGGCAGCGGTTAGCATTTTTTGTTGCTGTCGCAGTTCCTTTAAAGGTTTGGCATGACGCGAAGGTACGAAGACGCCAGATTCAACCCTGAATATGATGAAAAGACAGGTGCAATGTGACACTTGGGGACCTGGACCTTCCAAGCCGTCAGGGTCATCACAGTGAGTTGATTTTTGTTGACCCACTATGAAAATTGGGGTTACTCCATTCAGGGTGCATCATCATCCACTGGGTCAGCTTAAAACCAGGGTAGCTGCGGTCTTGTTGGAATGGGTTTGTCCAGAACTGGGTTACACCACATGTCCCATTTCGGGGATGGGGATGATGATGATGATGGTGATGATGACGATGATATAACAACTAACATAAATAACAGCACCGATAATAAATAATCACCCATTGGACTGTTTGTTATTTTTTGCCAACATTTTGGACAATGCCACCAACAAATTGTATAGCAAGGGCAAACAATCGAACATCTTGGGATGGGTGCCATCCCAATGGGGCTTTGTTGAATCCACCAATTGATCACCGTCCTAGACATCTGTGACACCGAAGGCTATCGAACGCACAGCATCATCGCTGTGCCGGTGCGAAAGCCACCGACGAAGGACAAGGCGTGTGCAGTGATTCAGATGTGCAAGCCTGAGACGTGCGGGATTCAGCCATTGAGGTCAACCGGAATGAACAGATACAGAATCTAACGGATAGATGGTTAATAAATGTGAATGAGCCCTTAGTAACATTTTGACCTTAATTCTGCATATAGACTTAGACAAACCAATGAAAGCAGGTGATACGACATGTAACAGGTGATGTGTCCATTGAGACTTTAGGGCAGCCCCGGGTCGTGACTCAGGATCAACAAACAGGAATTTGATGATGAGATTGGGCGATTCGATGATGAGGACGTGCAGGCAGTGTTTTTTTCGCACCTTTTGACATACTCAACTTGGATCCTGCTCCAGAAATTTCGATGTAAAAACTTGGCCAGAGACACACCCGAAGAACCAGATATTTGGTTGATAGTTTAATTTTGAAGGTTCCATCCCAACGAATGGCATGACAATTCTCAATGACGAATTCACATTCTTCAGGGGTTGGTTCAAAACAAATTGGATAAGCTTCACCTCAGCTTAGCCTGATATCCCCGAAATTATTGTATCACTTGACATTCAACAATTATGGCCGTAATGTAGAGGTGAACAGTGGCTGATCCTTGTCAAAGATAACTCATGATCATATGTTTTTTTTTGTCATGTTGTTGGTTTCAAAATTGGGGATAAAAATGGAACCATGACATGGGGTTTCAGAACCATGGTCCAATGGTTAAACATTTTTTTCGTTATTTCCCCAGTGTTCATCCCCATGTCTTTTTTTTGGTTTCCCATGTATTTGTCAAGAAACCGTGCCGTTTTGCTACACCCCAACGATGATGGTTATAAATCCCGTCAAATCCCATAAATTATCCCAATACAATGCTTTGTTTCCCCAAGTTTTTTACTTGTTGAACTCACCAATTTCCCATGGTAGTGATATCCTGCTTCGTAACATTTAGTAACAGTATCAAATTTAACTAGCCATTGGGATATATAATATATAACTAACATTGGGATTGGGGATAAACCAACCCCTACATTTTTTAGGACAAGCCCATGTTTCAATTAGTTGGCCATATTTCTCACTATATCCCATTACATCCCATTATATCCTATTATATCCCATCCCGATCCCATTACGTTCCCATGTTCCGATATGAATAATTATATCCCATACCGCATAGTTATAGTTGTAGTTAGAGTGATTATATACTTATACGATGATACCCACAAGAATCATACCAATCATAGTTATAGTTGATAAACCATAGTTATATAGCTAAAGGTATAGTTACGGTTGATAAACCGTATTTATGTAATGATGCCCACACCAATCATAGTTCTAATTACAGTTGGTTATATGTAGTTATACAGTTGTAAAGCTATAATGATAGCCATTGCCACAAGAATCCTATCCACGGCCACGTCAGGAACCTAAATTGGAGGTACATATCTACAGAAAATATGGCACAGTCGGGTAACAGGATGGTCGATTCCTTGACATTAGAACCCAGCCTTTGGTTGTTCCCTTCCCATTCACTCGCCTCACCCACGGCTTATGAGATTTCGGAAAAAATCCTCAATCATAAGCTGTGTCTAAGGTCGGCCGTTCATTCGTCCTTCGTCTCGTGGTTCTCTGGCTCCTTACCGTCACTCGTCACCACTCCTCCCTCCCCTTTTACTTCGGCCGGAAGCCTCGTTCATGAGGAGTAAGGGGAGTGGTGACGAGTGACGGTAAGGAGCGAGAGAACCACGAGTACATAGGGTCCTGAAATTTCCATTTAAAATCATAGTTAAAGTTGATGATATATCAGCATATTATATCAGTATAATCAACTATATCATCAACTGTGATTTCCATTTAAAATCATAGCTCATTGTAGCTACTGTTGATTATATATCGTTATATACAGTAGCTACAATGATAGCCATTCCAACCAGCTTATCATAGTCATTACACCGTCATGGAACCGTCCTCCTCATGATTTGATGCTGGTCCGTCGTTCAGATCCTCGAGACCTATGCCATGTTTGTGGCTACCCAACTGGCGCAGTCCGCCCTGTTGAAACCTGTCACTTGCGAAAGAAAGGGGTGATGACAACTGGACATTTTTTGGCGTGATGGGAACTGGAGGTGTTCGTCACTTTGATAGGCAAACTTCGGGAAAATGGGACATGATCCCGTTTGGGCGACCAAATTTCAAGCTGTAGGAAGTGTTATTTCGCAAAGGAATATGTTTGATCTAGGGACTGGAACATGTACAGATGGCTGTTGGGGAGGTGCCAAGAAATTGGCAGCAGAGTTTTGGAGACATGCTGAAGCAGCTGTGAAGAAATGTCACAAGAAATGCTGTCATAAACTGTGGCAAATGCAAGTGCAGTGGGCAGTGGTGTGAAAGTTTACTGTGGCAAACTTCGAGCGTATCTAAGGCAAACTCAAAGGCGTGGCATCAATGCGATGGGGTGAAAGGATGATTGCAGATTTCTGGTTACATTATGGATATCATGTGATGAACCCAATCAACCATTCCCAATACTGCCAGAAGGGGTGGTAAAAATCATCCCAAATGCTTGTGTTTATGACATTGGGTTTTCGCACATTTTTTTGGTGAAATGGCACAGTTTGTTGAAACTTCTCCAGCCAAACTTGTAGGTGCCAACTCCAGTGGCCATAAATGGGGATGAATTTCCCCACTTTTAGACACACCGAAGCATGTCGCCAGCACCCGTTTTGCAAGGGAGCAACCAAAGGATGCTGTCTTTATTTTTTGGGGACCTGCACCTACCATACTTTCACACCAAATCATGTATTGATAGTTACAACCCATGTTGAACAGTTTGGTTTCCAAAATGGTTCCATTCGTTGAATCGCAAGGAGGCGCCGAATTTCAACGCAAGGCTGGGCGGAAGACCTGGGTTCAGTCAGGAATGATTGGGGGTTCACATCATCTCCATGAATTATCTTATTCTCCCAATGATTGGGGGTTCAGTATTACGCACTGATCATTGGGATAATAAGATACACCCTCCATCCATTGGCAGCACTCATTTATTGCTATCCACATATCCCAGTGATGATCATCCCGCTCACTGGAATATTATGCGTAGCTGCATAGTCATAAATCATCATAGTTATCAACATCATAGTTATTAACATGAAATGAATATCCTAAAATCCTAAAGCCAACAATGTCCTAAAGTGCTAACTAGTAAGTTATGTGGTAAACTTAAAAGTATCTGGCAATATTAGGTACATTAGACTAGCTATGTGGTCAACTTAAGTCAACCATTCTAATCTACCATTAAGTTATGTGGTTAAACGCTTAAACATATACCGTATCTAGATATCCACAACAGTGAACCACAACCGTTACCACAACTTCCGAGGCAGGGTATCCGTGAGGAGGAGGAGTGACCAACTCTCAACTGGGTCTGATGGAGGATGGAAAGCCGGATGAAGATCAAAATTCTGATTTGTATTGAAGATGGATGATCGAAGGAAGTTTAGAAGTCAAACTTCCGACAATATGGACAGATGAAAAGCAGAGCAGGGAAGAGGCAGAGAGAAGAGAAAGATTAGAAGAGAGAAGATCAGAAGAGAAAGAGTCAGAAGAAAGAAGATGCAGATGCGCGAAAAGGTAGGAAAGTCGCGAAACACTGTGTTTTTCCAATGATTTGGGCCTCCGGAGGGTCGAAAAGTAGGCTCGCTAAAGCGGCGGGTGCGGAGCGAGCTGGCCAGATGAGAGAT